AGTGGTCATAAGAGGGAAATTAGAAGTTTTGATGGTAACATTTTGTGAACGAGAGAAGAGAAGCGAAGAACGAGAAAGAAAGAAGAAGAGGCAATCATTCGGAAAGGGTAGAATTTGCGGTAGAGGTTTGAGAATCTTCAAACCAAGGTAAGGGTGTGGTTTCGACTCTCTAATAGGTGGTATAATAGTAGGGATGTAGTGATATGCATGTTAGGTTTTTGGTGTAGGTTGTTTTGATTTAATTCGTTGAAATTGACTATAATCAATGAAATTGATATTTTGATTTAATTAGAAATACATGGTTGTGTATGTGCTAGAAATTGTAAGCATTGATGCATTTTAATGTGTTTCAAAACTGGATTTTTGGGGTTGAAAAGAATGATTTCCGTATCAATGAAAATAACATAATTTTCCACTGTTATGCTGTGGAAATTGATTTCCGTTTTTGGGAAATTGATTTCCATTTTTGGGTAATTGATTTCTTGAAACAAAAAACTGATTTTTGCTACTGGAATGTTGTGGAAATCGATTTACCATTTTAGCTAATCAATTTCTTGAGTTAAAACAATTGAACTTTTATTTGCTGATACGTTGGAAATCGATTTACCGTTTTGGGTAATCGATTTCCTGAGCGCATTTTTGAAAAATAGCCTTGTTACATTGGGGAAATCGATCTACCATTATGGGTAATCGATTTCCTGAGCGAAATTCTGAAAAATTATAAAACTTTGAAAATTCATATCTTTTGACTCGGGTGTTCGTTTGGCACACCGTTTGGACCGTTGAAAAGGTTAAAATAATTTCTATGATGTGATATTCATTTTGATGGCAGTAGACTAATATTGTGTTAGAAGAATTATGATATGTGTGTATACTGTACGTGTTATAATGTAGAATATTGTGATTGAATGTATCAGTGTTGTATAAATGATGTATGAAGGAATTGCATGTTATATTGGAATATGAAGATGTTGTTGTTGGCCTGGAACGACATAATGTTGAGGCTCATGCCCTGTATTTTTATAGTTGTGTTGTTGCATGTTGCATACATGCATCATTGAGGGCTTATTCCCTGTTGTTGGTCTGGATTGGAAAAATATTGATGGCTTATGCCCTGTTATGTTGAGGGCTTATGCCCTGTTATTTCCCTATTTGGAATTTTGGAGAGGGCTTATACCCTGATGGTACCACGTGCATTTTGCATAAGTGTCAGTCACATTGGATATTGTTGAGTTGTTGATACGATGATGATGTTAAGTTGTATAATTGGTATGCGTTGTATGACTGATGATGATAATTATATGTGTTTGCATAATCATTGTGAATTTGTGGTTGATGATGTATAGCATGAAATCTTACATGATATATTTATCGCATACTTATTATTATATAACTTATTATATTATTGTGATATCTCACCCCTTCTGTTTGAATGTTGCCTTTACGTGGGTAACATGCAAATAATCAGGAGTAGTCTGAAGTTCCGGAGTCTAGAAGAGGCTTCTCTTCTTATTTTTGAGTTGGCGTCAGTGCTCTGATACGTAACATTGGGGGGATGAACGCATGCTTGTTTTTCTTAATTGTTGTTTTATTTTGATGATTTGTTGGAGTATTGTAAACTCTCTTTTATTCGATTAAACGTTGGTTTGTGATTAAATTGAAGATGTTGAATGATGAAATATGATTTCTTTTTCCGCTGTAATAACAAAGTTGAAATTTGAGAACTATGTTGAAAAGTGTTATTGGTTCATCCGAAAAAATATGTTATGTATCAGTTTAATTATACACGAGCAGGTTTTTGATATGTTGTAAAATGTGGCATCTTATTCTTGATGTTTTATTTTATGAATTAATTTAATCTAATTTTATTAATTTATCATCGGGGAAATAGGGTGTTACATAATTTATACCAACAAAGATAAGCCCACCAATTTTGCTACTCTACTCCCAATTGCAAAGGTTTTGTATCACCTTCTAGGGTCAAATCTCTGTCCAAGAGAGAAACAACTAGAAATAGTTACTTGGGATGACAAACATCTCTCGTACTTCCTTACTTGCAACAATAAAGTTAATCTTTCTCTTACCATTTTTAACTTCTTAAAGGAAATGATAGTCATCTCTCAAGAGGAAATGACTTTTCTCATACCATATGGAAGTGTTATTTCTGAATTTTTCTCTCCGCTAAAGATAGTTAGGAATACTGATGGAGTTGAGTGGAGTCAGAAATTTGAATATGTGGAATAATTATCTGTTGTTTTATTTTTTTTATCATCAATAAAATATTTCCTTTTCTATTATTGCCTAATATTGTTTATTGATAATAAATATTTTGAGAATTACTAATTAACAAAGAAAAACATGGGAAAAATTCACTAAAGAAAAGACTTTGAGAATCTTGAAAGACACCAGGTGAAAAATCGTTGAAAAAACTTTAAATGTGATAACAAGAATTCAAAGCGAGACCCCTTATAGTTATATTACCTCGGTAAATCGAGGTAATAGGTTTATAATTTTTTTATGGATAAAATATGGCGCTCACTTATAGTTATGTTACTTAGGTTTTTGAGAAAACCGAGATAAAAGGTTGTTAGCATGGCGCTCCCAGGACCTATACTATAAGTTTTTAGCATGTTCAGGGTGAAAGTTTCATCATAAAAAATATTAATTATAGTAGTGACACCATATCCTCTATGAGGACATATGTTTCTTCTATATTCTTATTCATGAGTGCCCCACCAGCACCAACATCCATTGTCATTCTTGTTTTGTACATGAGAGTGTTGTAAAACATATGCACAATCAACCACTTCTCAAGCCCATGATGAGGCACAACCTCAACATCTCCTTAAATCTCGCTCATACTTTGTTAATGGATTCTCTATATTTATAAATACAACTAGTAATTTAGTTTCTCACCTGGGTTGTTTTACTCGAAGAAAAACATCTAGCTAGGAAGGGGATTTTTAGATGATCTTGTATCCTAATAGAATCAGATGGTAGTAATTGTAGCCATGTTGTGTATATGAGAGTGTTGTAAAACATATGTACAATCAACTACTTCTCAATCCTATGATGAGGTATAGCCTCGATATTTCCTTAAATCTCTCTCATAATTTGTAAATGGATTCTCTATATTTCTGAGTACAACTAGTAATTTGATTTCTCACATGGGTTGTTTTACTCAAAGAAAAGTATCTAGCTAGGAAGGCGATTTTTAGATGATCCCATATCGTAATGGAATCAAATGGTAGCAAATGTAGCCAGGATCTGGCCATGTTTCTCAATGAGAAATGGAAGAGCCTTAATTGAATAATGTTGCTGATCACTCAATTCAATTTCATAATTTTGTAGTATTCGACGAAAATTGATAAATAAAGATTTTGGTGATCTGTTGGTAAAATAGAAAATTTGTCCACTGTACCATAGACATCGAGGATGATTTAAGCTAAAAATTATTTGCTTCCACCGCAAGCCACTTAGTACAAGAATGAGGTTATGTAGTGTTTGGGAATGCGTAGTTTTCAACCTGCAATTATCAACCATCACGTGTTGTTGTCTTCTAAGTCTCATATGTAAAGTTATTTCAGTATCAGGAATTAGTTAAACAAAGTCCCCAACATAGCAGGCTTTTCGCATTCAACCAAAAATGACAAAATTTAACAGAAAATAAATAATAGAAAAACGTGTTTTAGTGTAATCGAATAATAGGAAAAAACAATATCAAAATAATCCCGCCAACAATACCAAAAGCTTGATATCTCGCAAACACACGATTTATATCAATGTAGTAAAATTATTGTTCTATATTAAATTAATAAGAGAATGTTTAATTATTTTGGATATTATATTTTTTAAAAATACTAATCTTAAAATTATGATTCTTATCTAAAACAATAAAACAAAAATAAAATGATAAAATTATACCAAGTACATCTAAAAACAATAAAAACTAGACTTACCAATATCTTAAATAATATTCTAAATAAATTATGAGGAATGTTAATTTAACCACTCAATATTTGACATTGTATATCAACCATATATCAATGTCTATATCTCTTTTCTACTTCTTCATAAATTCTAATAATATATCACTACACCTAAAAAAAAAAAAAATTACATTTTTTTGACATTCAAATTTAAATATCAAAAATATCATTTCTCATAAATTATATATGGTGTTACATTCAAATACTTTCTATTTTTCATTAATAGTTTTTTATATTCAATCCATCAAATATTTTTCAACTTATCATCTCTAGAACCAATAAAACAATTACGTCAAAAACATATTTTAGTACAATGTATTTAAAACTTCACCATATTATAACACTAAATATAAAATTTATACTTAGTAAAGCAAAAAAGGCAAATATATTAGCACAAACCGATTATTAACTTTTTAAATCTCGTTGTTTGTAAATTTTATTTTAGTGTGAAGTTATTTTGCATCTTACATAAAAAATATGTTTTAATTAATCGTACTTTAATATATAAAATTAAACTTATTAATAAAAGAGTATGAAACTCTTGAAATAAACAATTGTAATGGAAAAGAATATAAAAATATCATGTTAAAATAAATGATAAAATTGATTAAAGGAATGAAACGCAAAATGCAATGTCGTTTTACAGAAGAGTGTTGTTGGACCATTCCGTGGGACGTTAACAGTTATCAGAGATTTGGATTCCAATCCTTGTTCGTTCCCCGTTCTCCTCCCTAAAATCAACGGCGCCGATCCTTGTCATCTGTCTCCAGGTACCTCCACAATTGTTTAACCTAATTTTATCTTTTGATGATCTAATCACATGTCACTGAAATCAAATTATGCTTTTCACAATCTGTGTTATCTGATACCCAAATTAAGCAAAGTATTGTAGAGATTAGGATGTTAGAATGGATAATAAGCCGACGGAATGTGGCGGATTTTACATATATACCGCTGAATTTGTGATATGATATTTTTCGTAACGACAATCTGCAGTAGAAGTGATATCATATGGCTGCCTTCAAAGCATTTTGGAACAGTCCAGTTGGTCCTAAAACATCTCACTTTTGGGGACCTGTTGCCAACTGGGGATTCGTCGCAGCTGTGAGTTTCGCTCGAATCATCATCTGTTTATGTTGTTAACAAACTCCAACATTTATTTACTCCACTAGTATACAAAAATGGTCTTAAGTGTCTTAACCTTTTGTTTTAAGCTAATATGCCAAACGTTTTTTTTTTTTTATATGGGAAGGGTTTGGCTGACATCAATAAACCTCCAGAAATGATCTCTGGCAACATGACAGGAGGTCTGGCATCTTACTTTAATGAAATGATGAAATTCTTTTTCGCGTATTGGTCTGTGGGTTAATTATTTCATCACTTTTTTATTTATTATTATTGCAGCAATGTGTGTTTATTCAGCGTTGTTCATGAGATTTGCATGGATGGTTCAGCCACGCAATTATCTACTTCTTGCATGTCATGCTTCAAATGAGACTGTTCAGCTCTATCAACATACCCGATGGGCAAAGGCGGAAGGGTACGCACCTAACATGCACACAAAACAAAACAATTAACTCAACCTGTTCTATTGCCTTTACTTTCTGTGACAATAATGTTTCACATGTTACTGTGACAATAATGTTTCACATGTTATTGTGACAATAATGTTTCACATGTTATTGTGACTGATTGTGACTGATTGTATCTCTTGCAATTTCTTTTGTAGGTATCTCTCGGGGAAGAAGGAGAAAGAAGCTTCATCAGAGTGAAGACACTGATTTGAAAAGATTATGTTTGAACTTAACGATATATGAATAATTGATTGCATGAAAGGGCTCGTGGAAACGGTAAAAGATTCAAGATTTTCCGAGTATTTATTTTTACAAGGATTATAAAGAACTCTACACTATAAAAGAGTGATTGCTTTTGGTCTGATCCGGAACTTTTGGGCCAGAAATCGAACTTTTATAATTTGGCAGGGCGTAAGTAAGTCTTTTAACATACATTAAATTTATATCCGCATTGTTCACCTGTTGTCTGATTTATGAACTTTGAGAGCACTATTCAAATGTCTACTCTCTTCAGTGACATCAAACCTTTTCCTTCTAGTAGAGACGTCTTCTACTCCAGTTGCATGATTTTCTATAATACTGTCAAATAAATAAACGAGACTGGATTTTTCTTGTGTCTTAACATCCATGTGGGATGAAAATAACAATACAAGTGACTTCTCAACAATTTATGTCTAATCATGTAAAGGTGGATGAAAAACGAGTAATGCTTATGTGCTTAAAAAACATAATGGATTAAAATTAGTTTTAGAGTAAAGCACCAGGGTCCAGATGAAGGTTTGTCAAATTGAAACCTAAAATTTGTGAAACATAAAAAAGTCAATCTCTTGAATTGCCCAACGTTAGTGATTCGGGAATAAAACTTCTTTGTGTGCCGTGTTGTTGATAACTGAAGATCTAACGGCGAATTTAAAATGATCTTCTATTCTAGTCCATTAGTGTGTAGTGTATTTGCAAATACTATGACACTCAAATCAGCGACACTCGTAAGTGTGCGATTTTAGGTTAGAATAGTGTATCAAAGTCTGGTTTGCCTTTTCTCTCTCTTTATAATAGGCTTTTAAGGTTTGAGTTTAAGACACATGTCTCTTGAGAAAAATTGTCAGCAAATGCAACATTGTTATCTAAAACCAATGATGGTTGGATGACCTCGATATGATGCGCCTCTAGGGCTAGTGTATCTCATGGATTATCTCTAACAACTGGATTTAGATTATCTAGATATGAGTAGGCTAGATGTTGTCCGAGACCGATACAATTAGCTACGTTGTTCTCTGTCAAGTTACACTATTACATTTGTTTTCCACGACCCAATGATTAAAACATTGGGTTTTGTTAAGGGTTGAAAACTGATTTTTATAAGTAGTTTTAAATTTACAGTGAACCATAACATTTCAATTTAGGCAAAAAATCTTCTTTGGGTTTTGTTAATGGTTGAAGATTGATTTTTATAATTAGTTTTAACTTTACCGTGAACCTTAACATTAAACTCTTCATCTCCCTATAGTTTCTTCATTTTGCACACTTGTCTCTTCATTTATGACATTATAATTTTGTAAATGAGTTATATTTATTCATTTACTCATTATTTTTCTTAATATATGTGCCACAATCTTAAGGGTATGTTTGGTTAAGGAGAGAAAATGAGAAGAGAGAGTGTGTGAGAAGAGAAAAAGATGTGAGAAATAGAGTAGAATTGATAGATTGTTTATTATCAAAGAAGTATAAAAGAAATAAAAGAGAGAGAAGTGTAATTATTTTTGAAAATATAAAAATATCCTTAAATTAAAAAATTAATACAAACATATTTATTATTTAAAATACGTTGTTTAATTCTAATAACGTAAATTTAAATATTTTCTTTTAATTTAATTAAAACTTAATAAGTATTTTTAAAAATTAATTTTTTAAGTTAGTTATAGAGTAAATATATAGATATATTAAATTATTAATACGTTTTAGTTTAATTTATAATTTAATTTTTTTCATTGATTCGTGTTATAGACTCAAAAGTCAAAAGAATACAAGTATTATTATACATTATCATATAAATTCAAATTATTTACCTGCATTGATGGATATCTGAGAGAGCAAAAGTGTATGGGCCCACCATAATTGATTTGTCGTCTCTATTTCTTTGATGAACCAAGCAGAAAAAAAAAATACATTTCTCATCTTACTCTCTCCCTTACACTTACTTCTCTCGTCTTCAATTCACTCTAAACAAACAGATTGTAAAAGACTTTTATTTTGAGATGGATGAAATATTGATGTGTCTAATAAAATTGATGAATGAACATGTTGACATAATAATATAAGATATATATAAATATATATTATGCGGTTATAGGAAATAATGAGTACTAAGATATTCACACATACACTCATACCTATTTATTTTAGTGATAATTGCTTGTGCCTATATCTATATCTATTATGTGCGGCTTTTTTTACCCAAACTGTTGTTAATTTTTGCTGATATTCCTTGAGAATGAGTCCCTATCTCCAAGTTAAACTTGATTTCCCTTGTATGATCGTCATCTTGTTTCCAACTCTTTATGAATGTTTGATTTTCCTTCATATCATCTTTGTCTCTATGTCACATTTTAAAATTTATAAAAACCATTTGTGTAAGCCCTAAGGCAAATGACTTTATTATTGAATTTAAAATTTATATAATATTTATATTATAATAAATAGCTCTTCTTTATTATGTTTTTTTAAAGTAATAAAGTCTCATTTTTTTATAAAAAAACAGTAATAAAGTCCCCTAGAACAATTCTTCAAAAAAAAAAATCCTAGAACAATTAATTTGTTTAGTAGAACACCATTGAATATAAGAATGTAATTATAAAAATAGTAGTAGTCAAGTTTTAATTTCAAATAGGACAACAATAATTCATAAAGACCGGTTGTTAGTAGATTGATGACCATATCTCGAAGGCCACGTGTTATAGAATGTGGGGAGTGTCAAAAGTGTCAATAAGCTAAATGTTTAAGATTCAAGAAACTTTAAAATCACGTATATATATCCAAAATATTAAGACAATGTGAGTATGCATTATTTCTCCTATATATACAACATTTCCTCCATTTCTAGTTGATGTGAGACTTAATCACTCATATTTGAATTCAACAATCTCTCCAACAAGTGTGAATCACCGACATCACTAGTCTTAATCCATACTAGGACCCCACTTTTGTCTCTCATCAAGTTTAATCATGGCTCTGATACCACTTGTTATAGAATTCGAGTAGCGCCAGAAATTTTAATGGGCTAAACATTCAGGATTCAAGAGATTTTGACTTCACATATTCACCCAAAACCTTAAAGCAGAGGGTGTATGAGTCATTTCTCTTATATATTCAATATTTTCCCCACTTTTAGTCGATGTGGGACTTAACCATTCACACTTGAATTCAAACATCATGTATATGAGATATTATATCTTCACATATGTAGGAGTAATATTTATACTAGATTGATCTATCATGAATACTACATAATATATTATTAGTGTCATAAATTATTTCCATACTGTTATCGATGTATCTTACCCTTTGACCTAAAATCATTATAGTCTCTACTTGATGAGTTTATTACTTTAGTACCACCAAACGGTTTCTATAACAAAACTATTATAAAGTCTGTTGACTAGATACTCAACGAGTCATCTGGAGAAACATTGGTGATCTAGATGATATTCTCCCATTTACACATGCATGATTACTATCTAAGGGCTCGTTGACCGAGTATGACGATAAAATACATGGTTATGTAGAAATAAGTTAATATATGATATTGAGTTTATTTATTGTTATTAAGTATACTCAAATATCAAAGAATATAATATTGAATTATACAAGGATGATACAAATTATATCTTGTGTTCAATATAGATATTATGGCAAAAAAGTAATTATACACAACATAAAAAAGTTGTGTCGGATTGCAAGACACTTTCATCACTTGAGTAACAATGATATGTTACTAGACACCACTCTTTATTTATAATATTAAATAAATGATTTAATATTGTTGTCAATATTACAAAAACTTACAAAGTCATACACATAAGAACAAATAAACAAGAGATTAAATAAATGAATAAGGTTCATTTATGATTCAGTGGTACATTTTTACAATGCATTGATGTTGTTAGTTCCATGATTTTATGATTGGCTAAATTTTGGTAAAACATGGTTCTATATTGATGTTGAGAAAGATGTTGTAACATCTTCATCAACTGTCATAATAATTTTACAGTTATGTATTTCAACAAGATATTGAAGACATATGTTATGACATTTTGGTCTGTGTATGTCAGGCGCTGTTGTTGTTTATCTCTTGACATATTTGTTTTGATTTGATGAGATTATTTTGGATATACCTCATCATTATGCGCAGGTCAAGGAGATTATTTAGGAGTAATGTGCATATTTGATTTGTTTCATTAAAAAGGATCTTTGAGACTTTTTAGAAAACTTTAAAATATTCGTTCCTATTTTTATGTGAAGATCTTGCAGTTGATTTGAAAAGAGAAGATTGGATTTGATTTGAATAGTCTAAGTCTATTATGCAAGAGTCTATATAAAGAGACTTGATATGACCTAAAATAACAAGCATTCACAAAGAAGAAACTGTGTGTGCAACATAAAGGTTAGGGTTTTGAGAGTCTTTTAGGTGCTTAGTGTTTGTATCTTTGTATGCCACTCATGTATCTTTTAATGCACTGAGTATACTTATTGTTGCTTGTTTATCAATCTATTGTTCTCACTCACGAGCTTTTAAGTAAAGAGTTTCGTATTGTTCTTAGTTGAAGCTTTTAAGAAAAATTAAATATTGTTTATTTGAAGTGTAATCTTCTTTTGTGTTTACAAGATTTGTGGCTGTAGGTATATCACTGCGGTGATTGGAAGTGAGAGGGGATCTCATATCTAGTGTTTCTAGGTAGAAGTTGCACAAGGTAGTGATTATGCAAGAAGTTGTAAACTAGGGTTGATTTAACTTTGAACTAATATTATCATAGTGAGTTTCCTTCCTGGATTGGTAGCCCCAAAATAGGTGACATTGCACCGAAATAGGTTAACAATTAATTGTGTTATTTAAATTTATGCAATTTATCTTTCGGCATAATCAATAGTTTTAGAAAGTTTTCTGTAAATATATGTTATAACATCTGTCTTGATATTGTATG